TTGACCTCGTGTTGATTTTGCATATAACAAATAAAACCTAAGCTAACTTAGTACTTCTTGTGAAATAAGCTTCCACATTAACTGCTGGAGTCAACCCAGTTTGTCTGTTAGCAAAATATCACATAAAACCAAGGAGAAATTTAAAGAAACCTTCAGTGATAATTCAGTTTTTGCCAAAATGCACAACGATATAATTATTTTCTGGTTTGTGTGCAAAATTCTTATTTAATGTAAGTTCTCTGCTCCTATCGAGGACAGAGCTTGTCAGTTTTATTAGCATCCTCCAGACGAGAAAAAGCTGCGCGCCTGCTCCTCATTAGAGGCCGATAACACTCCAACACAGGACCTTGGCCTGACACATGGTAGGAGATGAGTGTGTACGTGGGTGTCTGTGCGCACAGAGCAGCAGGGTTAAGGAAAGGCTTTTCAAGTTGTGGAGTCCAAACTATGCCAATGAAAACAGAGTCCGCTCTGGAGCCAGCAGCTGTCTAAAAATACAGGCGGAGACACAATATGGAGGATGACTAAAGCACGAGTCCTTCACAAGACGTTTCACAGGAACGTCTTCGGAAACACCGTCTCAAATGCTCTTTATAAGTGTTTGCACATTTTAACCACTTTTTTTAACCAGTCTCTTTGTGTAAGGCAAACTGCTGAACCACATTTCGGTTCTCAGTTTTGCCGCGGTGGAGATTTCTCTGACACGGTTTAAAAAAACGAACAGTGCAACTAAAGATTAAAGTTGTTTTGAGCGATCATCACTGTCCTCTGCTCAAACCTCGGGATCGGTCTTTTCTAGGATGAACATGTCCGTCCCACAGGACACAAGTTACTCTGGGGTTTAATGGACTCATAGATATATTCTGAGGAATGTTCTTCTTGAAGACGGGTGCTCTGAACTTTCAGTAGATTTTAAGATTTAGAAATTTATGCCACGAAGCAATTTCTGTCCCTTTTGTCCCGAACAGTGCAGTCTGGTACAACCATCTGGTTTCTTTACGTGGCACATGAACACAGTGATTTATTTTTTGATTCTTCTTGGTCCGAACTAAATGTTCATGAAAGCTCCTTGTGTGTTCAGGACAATCAGCCTGTTAGTGTTAGCCCTTCTCCAGGAGCCGACACGCTGCCTTGTTAAACGTCCAAATCACAAATTTCTTAGTTCTGCGAACGATCTGCACGACCAGCGAATGCACGAGCGTATTCTGCGCTTGTGTCCACGTGCACTCACCGCTCCTTGGAAGACGCTATCGTAGGTGTTGTCCGTGGAACACTGCGGGCAGGTGAACGTGAACCTCTCACAGTCTTTATAACGCTCCTCGTCCGTGAGCTGCACCGGTCCTCCCAGCATGCCGTCGGCCTCCTCCTCCCTCTGATGCTGTTGTTGGGATCTGAAGTGACTCGGGTCCAGACCTAAAACCAAACAAAAACCACTCCTGGTTGCTTCGCACGATTAAAATGAACAAACGAGACTCAAACACCTTTGACCAAAACAGGAGTTGTAAATGGATAAAATGGTTCTAATGGTAGTTTTTTGTTTAATGGCTCCTTGTCAATGTTTGAACGCCTAATAAAGCAACAGTCTGAGTCACAAAACTCTGTCACTTTTAATTTCTGGGTCAAAACCTGAAAGTTTAGGGAACCCTGAACCACGGCAGTGTGACGTCACCAAGCTTACCAAGCCAGGTAGCTATGAGCACACCGTCAATCCCCTCAATCGGGTCACAGATGCGAGAAACTACTGGGTGGACCTGCTGGGCCAGGTAGTACTGCGTGTCCACACTGAGACCCTCCTGCTTCTGAAGCTGCTCCAGAGCGTAGGCTCTCTGACTGGCTGCCAACGTGGAGCCATCCTAGGAATAAAAAAGAGGCTCCAGTAACGTTTCCACAGGTCACAAGTTAACGGTGTGTAAACGAAGGTCACGTGGTTTTGTTGTGCACCTTGCAGATGATGTAAGAGACCGTGTCTCCAGCTTTGACTCCATGACCTCCCTGAGAGTTTATCCACAGAGCAACGTGGACATGAGGGAGAGTCTTCTTATCCGGGTAGTCCTGAGGGTCTTTAGTTAGTGCCTGAAGAGGAGAAAGGAAGAAAAGACGAACGTGTCGAACCTGAAGGGACGAGGTCAGAGTAGAAGAAAGCTGCTGCAGGACCTCTCACCTTGTGTATCTCATACTGGCTGAGGGGGACGTCTCCACCGGCGACCTTCTCTCCAACCTCAATCAGGTGTTTCTGGATGTTCTCCACGATGACGTCACGACTCTGGTCGGACAAGATCTGACCGATCACATAGCTAGAAGAGAGGAGTGAGTCAGTTCATGGGAAGATCGACTCGCTGCTAACTGAAGGTCTGTGAATCCTTCAAGGTGTCCGGTACTAAAACCTTACCTGTGAGTAAACACAGAAAATACCAGAGTTCAACTGGTTTTACGTACTTGCCACAATCCTTGGCCAGATCGCACCAGTCCCTGCGGACGATGTCCAGGCCTTTGAGCTCCTGCTTCACGCTGTACTGTCCTTCGCCGTGTTGCTCCACCACCAGAGCAGCATATTTCTTTTTCTTCAGCAGTAAAAGCGACTTGAACACGCCATCGATGTCTATCTCTAGCAGTTTGTACAACTTGTTTACTTCTGCTTTCACCTGAAAATTAAAAAAACACGCACCAAGAGTTAATGCCAAGCACAACACACAAAAAACAACCCGCCTGCACATGCACGCGCACACGAACCAACCTTGTTCCCTAGTTTGAAGACTTCCTCAAGAGATTTGCTGTTCGTGTTGATCATGATGGAGTCTGTATCTCCATAAATAACTTCCAGATTCATCTGAGTCGCACAGAAAAACAAAAAAAACAGGGAATTTGTTGAAACTAGAACAGAAAACCCAACTAACTTGGTAGATTTAAAGACGAAACTCAAGTTCCTAAATTTGCACGACTCTGAAAAACTGTCACAGGAATATTTTTGATTAGGGATGCACGATATTGGATTTTTGGTCAATATCCGATACGATACCAATATTTTTTCTTAGACCTACTTACAGAGACCACATAGCTTTCTCTGCTGCACGCTCTTTGTCACTTTGTCCTGCGACCAAACGCAGATGCTGAAAATGATGCAACACTTGAACTTGGATTATGTTTAATGTCAAATTTATTCATATTTACTCTCTAACACAATGACATCACTCGAACAGAGCAAACCTAAACTCAACCTGTTCACAAGCGACATGTGGAACGTGCATAAGTAGTAGTGCATTAATAGATACACTTGACAGTTTCTCAAATTAAAAATTAATTTAAAACAGAAGCCTTTTATATCGGTGAGTTTCTTTGATATCCCGATATTTAACTTTATCGCCAATATCGGCCGATACCGTGCCGATAATATCGTGCATCCTTATTTTAAACATCTGCAATATAAACTTGAGAAGGGGCAGAATGAAGTAATGTGGGAATAATAGGGAGACTCTGGGGGGAAATCCTGTTAAATCCACTTTCAGCCAGGGTTTTAAAGTCAGAGCATTTGTCACAGGGAAACAATCTGAAAGTGGGATTTCCCCAGTTACTTAAGCACTGGCTTCACCCGCAGCGAATCCAATCGCATGAGCTCCTTCTGCACTGACAGCTCTGAAATGATCACAGCTCCTCAAAGAGCTGTCTGCAGCCACATGGCGAAATGCTTTCAGAGTACAGCGCCAAGGTCAGCGATGATGCCTTCAGGCTCCAAAGGGAATCCCCCAATACACAGAGTGAGAGAGTGATGCAACAGAGGTTCCCAAGTGAAATTAAAAAAGGTCATCGATGAGTCTAAAGAATAATTTACTGTTCAGACCGAAGGTTGTGCTGTGAACATAACGTGACGGCACACGCTGCTTTGGTCTAATCTGTAAAAATAACGAAGGGTTTTCTGATGATCGTCTTTAAAGAAAACAAGAAGCAGTAACAAAAAGCACGACGCTAATGAAACATTAGCCTTAACCTTTAGTTTAATCCAGATGTAAGCTAACTTACAACATCTGTGTTGACCGTGTGGTGCACGTTTGTGACGCTGCGTCCCATCAACCACTCACCTTCTGAACCATGTCTTTGGTGTGCATCAGGATCTAGGGCAGACAGAAAACTGGTGTCAGCGCCACACACACGCAGTAAACAAACAAGCCACTCAAGGACAAACAATGATTAAATATTAAGCTTCTGTGTTATTTACCGAGTGCGCGTTTGTGTGTGACGGTGTCGGCGTGCACGTACGCATGTAGACACGGAGCAGAGCAGGTGAGTTACTTTTAAATGGGGGATAATTGGCTAAGAGGGCAATTATGAGAGCGTGCTGTGACAGGCGGCGTTTTCAACCCACACACACTCTTAGCCAGGAAACACACACACACCTTGATGACTCGTAATGGCCTTTACCAGCAGGGTGAGTGGCGGAGGAAACAAGAGTTCTGGTAATACTGGTTGTCCACTGTGTGTGTGTGAGCGATCCTAACAGGTGGGGGTCAGAGAAAGGAAAGGGGGGGTGGGGGTTTGGGTCACTAATCTGAGGGGTCGGAGCGACAGAACGCAGTGTGACCTGTCACCAGCAATCTGCTCCTCAATCAACCATGGCCGCATATATACAACACTCCGGCTCACGCTGTGATCCGTGCGGGGGGACAAGGACGTGGCTATTTCAGAGTGTGAGGAAGGGGCGGGGCCAAGCTTCCACTCCCTGAAACCAGAGTGGGGTGTGAGCATGCTTCATGAGCTGCTACATACCAGCGAGCGGTGAGGGGAGTTTGAGTCATTCACAGAACAGCCTCCTCTATTAGGAGCTGCAGTCAAGGTCAAGGTCTCACACACACACACACACACACACACACACACACACACACACACACACACACACACACACACACACACACACACACACACCTCAGCCTAAGCACAGTGACTTGTGCATACGAGCTCTACTGCAGACGACTCCTGCTTGTTACGAAGAATCAAAAATCTGATAAACTTCGTCCTAAAACAAACTTTAAGTACAAAAGTGTAAACGAACATCATCAAATGTGCAAAAATGTGTCCAACAGAGAAAATATTATTTAAAAATGTGCAAATATCACATGAGTGCAATGATTCCTGGACAATTCAAAGTCACTTCACAGGTTTTAAGAGGGAGGGCTGCACGGTGCAGCAGTGGGTAAAGGCGGAACACAAGCTGGACGACGCGTTTCAATTCGTGTGTGGCGATGGCGTGTTCTCTTTGAGGGGTTCCAAACGTGCACGTCACGGTAACTGGCTGCTCTCGTCCGTGCCCGTGTGATGTGCTGGCGAGCTGTTCGGGTGCACTCCGATTCTCGCCCAGGGACAACTGAAAATAGGCACCGGCTCCCAGTAACTCTAAACGGGAACAAGTGGATGAAAACTGGCAGGAGGAACCATTTTAATGGTCCAGTTTAACGGACCAGTGTCAGCTCCCAACTGTGTGGGCGGCTGCAGATATCCAGGCCAACGTTTGGATTGTGGACGTTACATTCAGAGGAAGAACAACGTTTGAAGTCTGGACTTCAGATTATTTAAAATCCTTTGAGGATTAAAAAAAGCACTTCAGTACTCGACTCCTTTCTGTCAGATTGAAAGGATAGTTTGGGTTTTTCTGAAGATTTGTCATCAATAATCAATACGTTCACCCAGCAGTTATGAGCTTGGACTATCAGGCAGGAGTTCAGCTGTGTCCTCCTACAGGAAGTATCTGACGAGGCTGCAGCTGCTGGCGACCGATGGCAAACAGTTGCAAGGGAGTCTCCAAAAAGTCTCAGAGCGTTTGCTAAGAGTCCTCAGCTTCTCTGCGGGAGTTCACATTGAACCACAGGTCTGGTCATTTTGTCGGTTGAGTACCGAAGATGTTAAAATCAAACGCCAAAACCATTTTTTCTCAAAATAGGTGCAAAGTCGTGGGCATCTCGAACCCTTCTCAGTTTTGTTGCCGTCATCTCAAAAGCACCAGAGCTATATGCACAGAAGCTCTGCGCTGACGGAACGCACCTGAGGTCCAGGTCTAAAGATCGCACCGATTAGAAATAATTATTGAAAACTGCTCAAAAGCTGCCTCTTCACTCCAAAGTGTGCCAGTAGACTAAATCATAAATGTGGGGGCTCTGCCAAGGTGAGCAACGAAATAATGTGTACAACCTAGAACACATATATACCGTATTTTTGGCCGTACACGTCGCATCAGTCCAAATGTGTCTAATAAAGTGGAAAAATAAAAAAACAAATACGCCGCTTTGCCGCATACGTCGCATCTATGACGCGTCACCGCTGACAACCTGGAAATGTGGGTGTTGTGTCAAAAATCAGGGGTGCACCGATAAATGTCCTTAATTTTGGGAAATCGGCCGATATTTGCACGAGAAACCAACTTTTTTTAGTTTTAACAACAATTATCTGAACTTCATTTGTATTTCAGAGCACAACCTCACGGCCAGTTAAAACCAGTTTGTAATGTTTCTAGGATATAGCTCAAGGGTATGTTTTTCAATAAAACAAGAATGGAAAATTGAAGACCATTGTGACCTTATAGCACCGGACAGCGTCGATTATAAAACAAAACTGGAATCGGCAGGTCACTTTTTAGAGATCGTGATCAGTGATTGGCCAGAAAACTGCAAACGATGCACCGCAACCAAAAATCGATGTCAAATGGTGGACATGTAAGCATGCACGGGAGGACTTTAACAAGACTAACACCTAAAACAATTATTTGTTTGCTCTACATCACAGTAAAGGTGTGTCTCTGTTGAACCTTTACTTAATAAATGCACTTTAATGGTCGAATCAGCTTCATTTGGCCGGGGCAGCGCAGCCAAATGAAGCTGATTTGACGGTTGCTCCAGGCATGATCCGGGTACTGGACGAAGGTGGCAGGCTACGGCAAGCTGATTGTGTCATTAATAGCCACTTTTACCCATTACATGAGACAACGGCATGCCATACTGTCCGAGTGCCATCTAGCAGCTGAAAATGGTAGTGTTCAACATTTTCAGTCAGAAGGAATGAAAACGGTCGTATCTTGGTAAAAATTGGTTTATAAATATGAGAAACAATCCATTAATAAGTCGCTTCGGTTTATAAGTTGCAGGGCATGTAAATTAATATGGTACCGGTATATATATATATAAATATATGCACTGTATACCATCCAGAGGACCGGACTTAACTTGTTGAATTTATTAGCTGGATTATTGCGCATGAACGTTGAGGCCTTGAATACAGTTTTGCGAGCCGTGCGCACAAAACTAAGATGTAATTTTTAAACAGGGGCTGCTCAAAGTGCAGCCACAAGGCTCGCGGGTCTGGTCTGCCCACTTTATTAATAATTTTAATCTTCAGTGAGTTTCAGCTCAGTGGGATAGTCTAATCCCAAACGTTTCGGTGTTTTCACACAAACGTTATTTTGTCAAACTTTAACCCCATCCCCACGTTGACGGGGTGTTGGGAACGGCACGGCACATAAATTTTTATGCCAAAGCCAGCCAAAGAAGTGACGAACGGAGAGATGTGGAAAACGGAGAGCAAGCAAAAGCAAAACGAGGCGACGTGACGAGAATGCATGCGTTATTGATGTGCAGGACTCGTTTAGGCAGGTTTTCCATTCGCTGTCAGGACAGACAGCTTTGAGGAATGGACCGTGTGAAAGACAAGTCATTTGACCACGACTCGGGAATGTGTGCAAACGATGTGTGTGCGTGTGAGAGCGCTCATCTTTAAACGCATTCCAACACACGCATTCTATACCAACCAATGCAAACACGATTCCCCGGGGGGTGACAAGAATCCGAGTGTGTTTGTCTTCAACCTGATGAGTGCACTGGTCAGCACCGTGCGCGCCGCTCATACTGAACCAAACAACTGAAAAAGCAGGACGGGACTCAGATTTCTGCACGTTAGCCTCGATGTTGTGTGATTTTATTCATGTGTGACTGTTCACCAGTCTCTCCGTGTTCTTTATACCGAACGTGTCATTAAAATACCTCAATGGCAATTAACAAATTTGTGCTGAAAATCTTTTTTTTTATATAACAATGCTTCTGGCTCTAATTACTTTACAGACACCAAGAACTCGAGTTTAATTGGTCTTATTTTACCTACTTTGCTTACCCTCATTCAATCAATTTATAAAATCTGTTAAACTCTTTAGCTGCTGTGCCCTTTTTTTCTTTGAACCATAACGTAAAACATCACTCATTATTCTCAGGTGTCAGCCTCTTTCCCTTCTCGGCTCGTTGGTGTTAATAAACGGTAATTAAGCTGGACAGTAATTGAGCAGTTTTCACTGAAAAGTGCTCCCACAGAGTGAGGGATCATGACAGAAGACTTGTGAGCTGAACAGACTGATAGATTTCTTTTTTTCTCCCTCCTTTTGTATTTGTACAAACCCATTTTTCCCCCTTTTCTTTGCTTTTTAGACGTCGGCCTAGATTCTGATGACGCCACTGGCTGCTGTTAATAAAACTGATGCAGGTCTGAATTAAAACAAAGCAACTTCAGCCACTTTTTTTTACTACTACACTTATAACAGGGCAGGAGTTTCTGTGTTAAGGTTGGCAAGTGTTTCTGCTTCAGTGCCTCTTTCCTGAGGGGTCCCGCAGGGCTCAGTTCTTGGACCCCTTCTGTTTTCACTCTATCTGCTCCTTTTGGTGTCCATCCTGAGGAAACGTGCTCTTTCATTTCATTGTTATGATGATGACTGTCAGATTTATTTGCCCTTAAAACCAAATAGTTCTTGCTCCATTCACCCACTGTTGAAATGTTTTGATGACATGACCTTTTCGGTTGTCGCACCCAGACTCTGGAACCAGCAACCTCAGGACTTGCGCACCATCACTGACATGGAGCATTTAAAATCTAATCTTAAAACCTTTTTATTCAGGCAGGCTTTTAATACCTAGTAGGTCTTTGACAATTTTGCTATGTTTTAATTGTAATTGTTTTTGTTTTTAACTGACTGATTTTTTTATTCTTGTTTGTTTTTAACTTCTGTGCTGTGCAGCACTTTGTGCACCCTTTGGCTGCTGGAAAGGGCTCTATAAATAAAGTTTGATTGATTGATGACATTAAGGCCTTCGAATATTTTACATTTTAACGATCAGAAGACTGAAGTCATTGTGTTTAGCCCTACCTCTACCTCTGTCTCTGATCCTGTAATCCTGGACTCCCTTCAGCCATATCTTAAGCAGTCTGTTAATAATCTCAAGATGGTTTTAGACTCTGACTTTAAGTTTAATAACCAAATCAGTTATGCTCAACAGAAAAGCTTCATCCAGTTAAAGCCGATGGCTAAGGTTAAGTCAGAGTTGTCCAGGTCTGACCTTTAAAAACTAGTCCATGCCTTCATCACTATCCGACTGGACTACTGTAACGCACTCTCTGCTGGGGTCAGTGAGGTCTTCGTTTCCCATCTCATCCAAAATGCTGCAGCTCAGCTCTTAACTGGAACTCATAGGTTTGATCATATTTCACCAGTTTTGTCCCCCCTTCACTGGCTCCCTGTACGTACCAGAATCGATTTGAAAATTCTCCTAATAACCTTTAAGTTTATAAATGGCCTTGCACCCTCATATCTCTCTGAGGTATTGGAACCATAGTTTCCTTCTCAGGCCATGGGATCATCTGACCGGCTGCTTTTGGCTGTTCCAAACACCAGGCTGAAGCTCAGAGGAGATCAGGCTTTTTCAGTCGTGGGCCCCAAACTTTGGAACAATCTGCCCCCCCCAACATTAGACAGACCGCTTCACTTCCTGTTTTTAAATCTCTGCTAAAAACTCCTGTTATCTCTGGCATTTCACACAGTGGGGTTTGATTTAGTTCCATTAAATTACTCTCATTGGTAACAGCTCGTTTTAAATGTGCTTTATAAATAAAGTTGACTCGACTAATAAAATTAAACACCAAGCCCAAAATTAGTTTAACCCATCGTAACATTTTACAGCGTTAAACACCAGGATCTGTATAAAAGGATGATTCGCTCCACACTGGATCGCCCACATTACGACAGTGACACTTGCAGACCCAATCAACTTAAAAAGCTGCGACTTGCAGCTCGTCAGCGTAAAAACGGTCTGTGCTCCGCTCTTTTCACAAGCTCTAAGTTTGGATCCGACGTCTCTAACGTGAGTGCTGCGAAGTGTTCTTTTATTACTGCTGTATTTCAGCTTACAGGTGACAGTTTTTCTTTGTGCTGACCATTTTTAAAACATAATGCACCCAACAAATCTAGCTTGAGGGCACCAGAAGATGTGGTTTGGTTAAGTGGTGCAGCGGTACTCTGTAACAGCCGGAGCGGCTGCAAAATGACCGAGAGAGACATCTACGGCCGCACGGTTTCATGAGATTTAACAAATCTTATCTAGTTTGTAAGTGCAGCCGGAGTGGGGCAAATAAAACACAAAAAACTCAACTGCAAATCAAGATTTCTGTAACTTTTTAAGGCTTGATGTTTTAACAAAACCCCTTTAACGCAACAACTTCCACATTTTTAATACCTGTCCGAATATTTCACTGAGTGCTGCACTTTCCCACTGACCGCCGACTCTTCACAGCCAGTAATTCTTATTTCATTTGGGGCTTTTAACCACGTCCTGTTAACAACTGCACAGAAGCTGAAGCCATTAGCTTCAGGGTACAGTTATTTGTTTGAAACGTGTGAAGCTGTGATCATATACTTATCGTGTGAATGGACCTCGTCCTCCACGGCGGACGTTTTGGTTCATTAGAACTTGAGATGCACCCGTTTCTTGTCAGGTGACGGGAATCTGTTTATCCTTGGGTTGACCACAAACTTTTTAATTTACTACATCATTTGGAGGCAGCTGTTTTTGTGTGAATGCTGATTCATGCGTGGAGCTTCTTCAGGGCATAATTTTGTTGCAATCAATCGACCTTGCACAGAGGTTCGAGAAGGCAAGCTTGTGATCAGAAGGTTGCCGGTTCGATCCCCCGGACCGACAACATCTAGGTGGGAGAGGTGAAGCACCCACACCTGCCTCCACTCTCATTTGCCCCACTCTGGGCCCTTGAGCAAGGCTTCATATGATTTGAAAATTACAATTATATATATATATATTAAAAAAGGAAACAAAAACAGCTGCATAATAAAGCGATGTAAAATACTAAAAACAGGAACATGTCTGTTGGTTTATGCCATGAACTTAGCAGATGTTTAAAGCCATTTAACATTTTATTTTATTTTATTCATTCGTTTAAAAGAAACAAAATAAACAAAACAAATTAATCAAAAAGAAAACATTGAATGAAAAAGTGTAGAAAGAAGAAAAAATTCTTATATCTGCACCTTATCAAAAAAAAAAACTTTAAACAATCACTTAAATTAATCACTTTAATATCCACTTTAATGGGGATGCACGATATTATCGGCACGGTATCGGTGTCGGCTGATATCATCGTTAAATTTCAATATCGCACATTCCATTAAAATAACTCCCAGATGTAAGAGGCTCTGTCTTTACCTGCAGCGGCTGCACAACGTGATGACGTCACGTGCGTCTACCTGATCTCACGGCGGAGAGGAAAACTCAAAATGTCGGCGGTGTGGAAGTTTTATTTTTTGTTGGTGAGGATGTTGGATTCAGAAGATTTATGGACGACGTTGAGTCTCGTTACATCGTCCCCAGTCAGAGATTTTATTCCGACGTAGCGTTGCCCGAGTTACAAGACGTCATTTCAGAGGTCGTTAAGAAGCTAACAGCTGATAGCACGACTTGTTGGGTGAGTTTTACCTCAGACGTTTGGACGTCGTGTTAGCCCGTTAGCATGATTAGTCTCACGGAACAATGGATAAAAACTTTGAAGTTAAAAAGTCTGTCCTTCATGCACAGGAGTGCAGAGGATCCCACGCTGCAGCTACAGGAACCTGGAACAAACCTCCACAGGTGAGACAGCATCGCAGGTGACTAATGCTAATAAATAACATTTAACACTTTTCATTTAATAAAAATCAAAGTGCTGTGCTGTTACTGAATATATGTCACCAGCTCTTACAGCTGTTGCACAGTTTTTGTAGCAAATAAGCCTAAATTCTAACAAAGGAACGTGTATAAAATGTCGGTATCGGCTGAATAAGTTTTAACATATCGGATATCGGCCAAAAATCCAATATCGTGCATCCCTACACTTTTAAGCTAGGAATAAAAAATCATGTTTTGTGTTAGCAGAATTTAATTCCAACTTTAAAACTTATCCAACATTAATAAAACTTACCTCAAGTCGCCTTTGTGCACATGCGTGCATAATTTGTACAAATTGTACACGAGGAGATAATTACAGCCTCATACAATCAATGATGATCATGATATCGGAACGGGATCGGTATCGGCCGATCTCCAGATTTAGGCATCGGGATCGGAAGTAAAAAAAACGTGGATCGGTGCGTCCCTACTTCCAACCCCCAGCATCTGCTCCGCTGGGCGCTCCGCTGGGCGCTCCTGAAGGCGCTCCTGAAGGCGCTCCTGAAGGCGCTCCTGATGGCGCTCCTGAAGGCGCTCCCGATGACGCTCCCGATGGCGCTCCCGATGGCGCTCCCGATGGCGCTCCTGATGGCGCCCTCTGCTCCACACGGACGGCTGAGGTAGCTCGGTGGCTGCATCGAGTCTTTGCACGAGTCAGTTCACTGAAGACGAGCAGCCGAAGAAGAAATTAAACAATAAACTATTCCTGGATCAGGAACGATGTTCTACACTTTAGTATTTATAACTTTTATACTCCTTTAAATATTTAACACATTTCCCCTCAAGAACTAGAGCTCTCTTCCATCCCTTCCAAACCCTGTTCTCTGAACTCCACATCAGCATTTGCTCTCTTTTTGTCTCTTTATGTTCATTTTTGCTTTTAAGTAGTCCTGCTGCTAACTTTAGCTTTTAGCTATGGTTTAGCTTATTTTGGCTTTTGTTCTGCTTGTTTTAAGTTTAACAATTTAATTCAAATCTATTCTTCAACAAATTTGAGCAAAGTCATTCAGCGCTGAGCACTTTCCCAGAAAATGCCATTTCATTCATTTCATTTAAGGTTTTGCTGAAAATGCGTGCCGTATTTTTCGGACTATAAGGCACGCACGCTTAAAATCCTTGTTTGATCAAAACCGTGAGCTTGTGTATTAATTGTGGTTGTGCTTGCCGACCTTGAACTGATTTTATGTTAACACGGCGCTCAAAACTCTGTCAAAATTAACTTATTTCAATTAATGCGCAAAAAAACACGGTAATGCGTTGTGTTGTTTTGGTGTCTAAAAATAAAAAAACTACAACGATAGAATTAAAAATAAAGAAAGGCTACACAGACCTATAATCTGTTTTATGAATGTAATTATTATTGTGGCAGTTTATTTGTTCAGTAACTGAGGAATAAAGGTGCAGATTTGTAACTTGGTGCTGTTTTGGAGAAAATGTACGTTTTTTTTATGCAAACATTTGACTATAAACACAATAAATATTCAAAAGTAAAAGAAAAAATAACTTTGTGCCAACAATAACCTGAAAATTGGCAAATCAGAACTGGACCTAAAACAGAGGGAGCAGAACATCGCTCGTTATTCTATTATAAGATATACTGGTCCATCCTGAGCCCCGAACACAAACAGGTATTTACACCTGTGCACTTATCAGCCGAACAGAGGCTAAACTTCAGCGTGGCAGAAGACCCTCGGCCGCTGACGGCTGTTTTGAAAAGCACTCAGCTGAAGAGCGTTTTGGGACGACAGTCGACCGACTGAAATAGCACCTGAGGAGGAACACGCCGCTGTCAGAGCAGAGAGCTGGACCAACGGGCAACACGTGCACGGCACACACACAACAGCCTGCAGTGTGAGTGCACGTGTCCAGATTTTCACCAACGGAAAGTTTAACGTGAAGAAAAATCTGAAATTATTTCACAGCTCAAAACGCACGTGTCCGGCTGCCGCGCCTGATTCAAAACAAGCGGCTGAGATCACAAACGCCGCCATCGGCTGAAAATAACTCGCCGGCGATCCTCCCGCTGGATCGATCAAGACGCCGAGTTTAAACGCTGGAAGGGATCGCATGGGATCAACCCTAAAATCTAGTCCCGGTAAATCAAAGTTAAACTAGAGAAACTGCACTTCCTGCGAAGATGCAGCGTGAAGGCTTACTGCTGAAAAACATGAAATCAGCTAAAATATGCTGAAATTTAGCAGAAAGAGCAGAAAGAACATATATTTGCTGAATTAGGTTCAAATGGGCAAAAATGAGCACAAAAATAAGAAAATTAACTAAAAAAGTTGAAAAGTAGCCAAAGAAAAAAAAAAAGCTGAAAAGTAGCTGGAAAGGCAGAAAGAAGCTTAAACTACCAGAAGGAAGTGAAAGGAGCTGAAATGAGCTTAAAAAAAGTGGAATTAGCTAAAAAAGATACATTTAGCACAAACAGCTACAAAGAAGCTGAAATTGCAGAAAAAGCTGAACTTTGCAGAAAGAAGTTAACTAGACTGAAAGTAGCAGAAATTACCAAGAAAATTTTAATTTGTCTGAAAACAGCTGAAATTAGCTAAAAAATGCTAAAACGCTAGCTGAAAACGTAAAACATGCTTAAATTAGCAGAAGAAAGCAAAAAAAAACAATACAATGTTTGCTGAATGAGGCAGAAAGAAGCAGAAATTAGCACAAAAAAAGTGGAAAATTACCTGATAAAAAAAAAATTTACAAAAAAAAACCAGCTATAAAGCAGCTAAATATCAGAAGGAAGCTTAAATTACCAGAAGTGGAAAGAGCAGATGTTTTTTGTTAAATTAAGCTGAAAAAGTTGAAATGAGTGCAATAAATGTGGAATTAGCTAAAAAAGCTTAAATTAGCATAAAACAGCTAAATAGTAGCTGAAATAGTAGAAAAAGCTCAAACTTGCAGAAATAAGCTGAAAGGAGCAAAACAAGCAGCAGAAAGGAGTTAGAAGAAGCACAAAAATGTTGTAGTTAGCAGAAAGAAGCTAAAAGGAGCACAAAACAGCTGAAAGTAACTGAAAAATGTTTAAATTTACAGAAAGTAGCTGAAAGGAGCTGAAGCAGAACAAAAAGTGAAAGGAGCAGTAAAAGGCTGTAAACACAGCTAAAGATCTGACGGATGGAAAATGAGCTCAATTCATTTTCTATGAGAAGAAAATGACAGAAAAGGCTAAATATTTCAAAAAGCTAAAGCTGCACCAATACCAAAAGTCAGAGCAGGATTGTCCTGAAAGAGCCGAACGTTTTGATTCATGACTTGAAGAAACAGCTGAAAAGACGAGAACGATGCTGAAAAACGAAGAGAAGAAAACTGGACCACGCTCGGCAGAGAGAACGCTTCACGAACGTCCAGACGAAGATGAAAGAAGCGTTGAGGTTTCAAAATAAGTCCACATTTATAAATACTCAGGTTCAAGTGACATGAAGCCATTTATTAATTATCTGCTCATTAACAGCGGCCCTGATAAAGACGGCAGATGTCAGATCAATCTATTACCAGCCGTGACCCCAGCCATTAGCCTGGTCCCACGTGGCCTCATTAGTAGGTGTTACTAATGCTGCAGTTTAAATTCTGGCCTTCCCCCCGGCAGCCACCAGAGCGGCTGACGGGGCCAAAATAGCCGCGCTGCTCCCATGTGACTATTTGTTAAGTCCAGTTCTATCAGGAGCAAAGCCAGCTCTTTAAGAGGTCCGAAGAACCACGGAAACATGGCAGGCCTACCCCCTCGACACCGGCACGCAGCCATCGCGAGCAGCCGATATTCTTACATCTAATTCACAGAAATGTCAAAGTGACTTCTTGGGTTCTGAGACGGCAGCAGCCGACACTCTGAATGAACGAGACGGGGCAGCAGCGTTAAGACCCCAAGCGCCGCCGCCAAACGAGACGCGATGGCGCGGATATTTGTGTTGAATTCTGGGAAATGGTTCGTCATGCTGGAGGACGAGACGGATGATGGGGGCAACAATATTTACTTAGCCTTTGTTGGGACCGTCCGCACACGCGCACGCAGGGGGTTTAACCTAAAGCGCACTGTGACCTCGCTGCACCCTCAGCTCCATTACACCAGCGCACCGTCTCCTCGCATGCCAGCCAGTAAAGTCCGGACGAGCTCCTGTCAGGCTGTTTTTAAACACAAGGACACAAACTTAATTAAACAGAAAGGCTCTGGGGATCCTGACGCACACACCTGCTAATGGCCGTCAGACCTGCTGGCAAAGGGACAAAGGTCAAACCGATCTGCAATCCAAAACAATCGCCAGCCTCTGCCGCTAAAATCAATCTTTTATTGCGACGCGAACACAGCCGTGCACACGTACAGCTGCGTGACGCTCACAGTAACGTGACCGTCTGCAACGCGACCAATAAATTAGACAAAAAGAGACGTCAACCACAGCTTTTTTAGCCGCTCATATTTTGAACAAATAGAAGCCGAGCAACGCTTGAAGGAATGCACGTCGCCCGCCCGCCGCCTCGTGTCCGAGTTTTAAACCAACGCACAGGAGGAAGCTGTAGCCATCTTGGTTGAACCTTGTGCATCACGGTTTGCACAATCTCGTCATATTTCAGTGCTCAAAAACGTAACGAAGAGGACTCCCAGCTACTACCACACAAAGCCCGAGCTCAGTACCTGCACAATGCAGTGAGCTAAAGCCACGTGACTAGCTGTGGTGGCCATCTTGAACTGGTTTGACTCTGCATGTTAACGAGCTTCAGATGTGCAGGGAACGATTACGTTCTGACTACATTTCAATCAAATCTGCAGAAACGCGTATTTTACACTAAACACACATCCACGTTAAAAACCACTCTGGACTTTTTCAGCGTCTTCGGTTCTCCTTTTCTTGGCAAGTAGCATCAGAGGTCCTACAACAAATGGACGATAACCGTCCGTCTCCAGGGACGAGAGCATTCATCAGTCCATCATAAGCTCATGTGTGAGACAAGTGTGTTTCATGTTTCAGTTCCTCTCCACTCAACTGTTCTCTGGCCGTCATACAAAAGAGCCCGAAATATCACAGAGGGGCTGAGGGGGACATCAATCTGCGGTGGACCCTTGGCTGTGTAATCCTAAACCTTCACCTTCCTCTTAATACCCACAAGTCCCCTCTTAACACCCACACATTCCAGGATAAAGTATGGCCACAACAAATGGCCCCCGACAAAGGGCAGAGTTCGGACGGCAGTAAATGAACAGACGCAAGTGTCTGTGAGCGAATACCTACTGGATGTGTGCACGCAAGTACAGACAAAAATATATGCACGCACGCAAGAAGCTCCTGCAAGAGTGAGAAGGAAAGGTTTAATTTGAA